TAGAATCTTCCTACATACCTTACAGGTTCTCTTTCTCGGTGACCGCATGAGCCCTCACATCACACTGCCTCTGCTTTCTTATCATTCCCAACTGAGTAAGGGAACTGGGTCTGAGCCCCCTCCCTTCTTAGGGAGCCCCCAGGCCTCAGATTCTGGTGGGAGTTTCAGAGGCTCTGTCCCCTCAAGGGTAGTGCCGGGCCGCCTCTACCAGATCTACCTGGAGAGAACCCCATCACCCACCCAGACCTCCAGCCACCCTCTGAGCTGGGGGCCTGCCTTTGTTTTCTCAGACTCATGTCCCAGTGGCCTGCTGGGCGCAGCAGGTTCCAATTGCCTTGGTCAAGCTGTTCCTGGAAGCTCGGGCTGAAGACAACTCGAGGCCAGGCTGGGCAGCCTCACAGAGGCTCCTTGGAGGAGAGAAACACAGGCAGAAGAGAGGCCCGTGGCCTCAGAGACAAGAGCCTCTGCTCTTCTGTGTGTCTAATTCCAGGCTCCCGTGGGCCAGGCCGTGCTCCCTGCCTGCTGTCTACTGTCTGTAATTAAAAACAAGGAAGGCATAGCCTGCGTGGGGTGTGAGCGTGCACATTAACGCGGCCCTTCAGCTAGGACCAGCTGTTAGCACCGGGAGTCCTCCCGGGAATCCGTGCTTCCCAGGGTGCTCCCAAGGCCCACCCCAGCCTAGCTCTGCACAGAATGTCAGAAGTGTCCAGCACCACGCAGCCCTGCCCTGTGTGAAGGAGCGTCTGGGGAGCCGTTTGCTTCCACAAGGGAACCTGCCCTTGCAGACAAGGTGGGTCCGGTCTTGAGAGAATCCGGGCTGGGCCCTCTGGCCAAGCAGGTTTTCCCTGAGTCCTTAGTGGCTGAGGGAGAACCGGAGATCACCCAGCATGAGGCCTCTCCACCTCCACATCCTTCAAAGAGAAACCAGAAGCCGTAGGACAGGATTCCTCACCTGAGAACCATCCTTGGAGAGGAGACTGAAGCTCAGGGCTTAGCCAGTGCACCTCCTGCCACCCCCCTCTCCCTGGGCCAAGGTCCCTACTGCAAGGCTTCCTCCTCAGTCCCTGAAAGATCCTTAAAAAGACACGAAAAGTGGCAACACGGCCATGCTTTTAAAAAGCTATTAAGGGGGCGCCTGGGTGGCGCAGTCGGTTAAGCGTCCGACTTCAGCCAGGTCACGATCTCGCGGTCCGTGAGTTCGAGCCCCGCGTCAGGCTCTGGGCTGATGGCTCAGAGCCTGGAGCCTGTTTCCGATTCTGTGTCTCCCTCTCTCTCTGCCCCTCGCCCGTTCATGCTCTGTCTCTCTCTGTCCCAAAAATAAATAAACGTCAAAAAAAAAATTAAAAAAAAAAAGCTATTAAGTTTATTTATTTTGAGAGACAGAGAGAGAGAGAGAACGCGCACACCCGTGTTTAAGTGGGGGAAGGGGCAGAGAGAGGGAGAGGGAGAGAATCCCTGCAGAGCCAGACGTGGCTCCAACCCACAAACTGTGAGGTCACGACCTGAGCCAAAGCAGGACGTTTAACCGACTGAGCCACAGGCACCCTTAAAAAGGTATTTTAACAGCTTTATTGAGATATAATTCACATACCACAAATCCGCCCTTTAAAGCATACAATTCAATGATTTTTACTTTATTCACAGGGTCGTGCACCCATCATCCTAACCTAATTTTTGACTATTTTGCCCCCCCAAAGAAACCCCTTAACTATTGAGCAGTCTCTCCCTATACCCTTCCTCCCACAACACCCAGCAACCACCACTCTGCTTTCCTCCTCTATGGATTCGCCAATTCTGGACGTTTCATGTAACTGGAAGCCAGTCACAATATGTGGAGTTTTGTGACTGGCTTCCCTCTCTTAGCATGAAGTTCCCAAGTTCACCCACGTCATAGCGCCCCTCAGTGCTTCCTTCCTTCCTTATGGCTGAGTAACGTTCCACTGAATGGATGGACCACATTTTCTTTGATTTGTCTAATGGTGGCCTCCTGGGCTGTTTCCACCCCTTAGCTATTGTTAACGGTGCTGCCGTGAACGTCTGTGTCACGTGTATGCTGTCACTTCTCTCGTGTCTATGTCTGGAGGTAGAACTAAGGCTATATGGTGACTTTATGTGTAGCTTTCCGTGGAGTTGCCAGAAGGTTCTCCATACTGGCTGGGCCATGTTACATCCCACCAGCGGTGTGTAAGAGCTCTAACTTTGCCACACCCTTGCCAACACTCTCATTGTCTTTTGATTCCAGCCATCATAGTGGGTGTGAGGTAGGATCTCATTGTGGTTTTGATGTGCATTCTCCTGATGAGGCTGGGCCCTGGGACACGGGGGTGACCCAGACAGACACAGCCCCGCCCCACAGAGCTCTGAGTCCAGAAGGGTACAGACACATAACCAAAACAGGTACCTGCTAAAAACAGGGTCCTGGGGGTCACCATGAAGTGACCCACGAGCCACAATCCAGACAGGCCTGAAGGGTGCCCGGAGAGAAATGGGTTATGAGACCTTCCTTCCAGGGCTTCAGTAAAATCAGAACAGGGGCACAAGTGTTGGCGGTGTGCCAGGACTTGGTCACGTCCTTAGGTTTAAAGTTGACCGTAGAAATGGCGGAGATATAAAGAGCTGGCTGTCTGGTGGTTGGGTGGTTATGGGCCCAGGACGGGGATGCACAAGAGGCCATGTGCAGGCTGCAGCTAAGTCACCCAGGGTCTCTGTGATCCCACTAGAGAAGTGACCACATTGCATAAAAACGGAGGAAACCTAAAGGCAGGAGGCAGGCCAATGTGTGCCAGGGGCTGGGGAGGGGCTGCGCAGGTGCGTGCTGGTGACACAACGTGAGGTGCTCCCCGCCCCTGCACCCTGCACATGGTTATGGGCTAAGATGATAAATGGCAGGGGCGCCTGGGGGGGCTCAGTTGGTGAAGCGTCAGACTCTTGATTTCAGCTCAGGTCATGATCTC